TTATTATTTTTTTTTTGAAAAATGGTTGAATAATTTGGATTGGTACTTTATTGATAAAGAATTCCTTTTGATTTTTCCATCTGAGACTTATTGATTGTATAAAAAGTGTATTCTCTAATATTTTATTTTGTCAACATACCTAAGGGCTGCATATAAGAAGCTAAAAATGGAAAGAAAAGACAATAAATAACCATTTATTACACCGATTTATTCGTGAATTGTCGATAAACTCCCAACTTAATACTAAAAAAGGAAGTATATTAAATGCTTATATGCAGCCCTAAGGGCTGCATATAGCATTACCCATGATATTTTTCATCATTTCTTACAAATTATTTGGGATTGAACCTTAATTTATAAAGAACTAATTTTGTTTTTTCCATCTGAGACTCTTATTGGTTGTATAAAAAGTGTATTATTAAACTTTATAGAATATTTATTTTGTCCACATATCATTACATATACTTTTGTTCGATATTTTCATCATTTCTTTGTTCTTCTTGACTTCTTGTGTAAGACTAATATTTTCAGGAATTTATTCCAATAGGCTATAGTTTATATTTTATACCTCTAGCACCCAAACCTAGGGGCTTCTAAAGTTGAAACAAAAAAATTTCTTACTATCAAATAATGTGTAATATTATTTAAAATTTTAAGTATTTGGTCCGAGCAATGCCATAATTTATTACAAAGGGTTGGCTAGTATCAGTGGTGCCACGTCCACATACAATGAGGAAACTCATATTTTAGATTGGGAGCTCATTATATATTTATATAGGATGACTAAAGTAAAATTGCAACAAAAGAAATCCAAAACCACCTATACATCATTTATTGTCCATTATATTCAGAAAATATATTTTCATAACTATAAAGTGGTTTCTCGTGCATTACTATGAAGTTCCAAAATATTTAGTTGATCATATCAAGTAAAATTTTATAATAGCATGATACCAAAATAATGGTCGGTGGAACTGTGGAAGAACTGAAGAAACACACGTATTCATGGGATACCAAAATATGTGATGGAAAAAGAGTAGGATGTTATCCTCTGGTCAAAGAATTGACTACTTGGAAAAAAATAGAGATTCAACTAAGAAAATGTGGAAAAGTTAGCGTAAAATACTGGGTTGACTATAGTGATATGTTTTGGGTCAAGGCCAATAGGCAGTACTTTAGTATAATATAATAATAGTAATACGAAGTATGTCAATTATAATTAGTATTGGTACTATCTAAAAATTGAACCTTGAATGATGTGATGTATTATTCATATTATGTTAAGTATGGTCTAGTGAAAAATATTGTATCTTTTAATTTTGAAATTAAGAGTTCAATCAATAACCTATACTAAAAGCCATCTAAAATGACACTTGTCATGATGTTATTAAAAAATTTTCCGCTTTTTTTTTTCTTTCTTTATTTTTTTTTGCCAAATTTGAATGACTTCCAATTTTTAACCTACAATAATACTTATTTCCATTTTCACAATTAGGGGTGTGCAGAAATGGACCTGGACCGGAAAACCGACCAGGACCGGACCGGAATTAAACCGGACTGGCCCTGACCGGTTGATTCCGGTCCGGTCTCCGGTCCTCACAAATTAGGGATTCCGGGTTTCCGGTCCGGTCCGGGTAAAAACCGGAATATTCCGGTCCGGACCGGAATGTGTATTTTGGTAATTTTTTAGGTGAAAATTTTAAATTTTATGTTTAAATTTCTAAAAAAAATAGGTACAAAACTTGTAATTTATAAATTCTAGGTGTAAAATAGGAAAACACGCAAACAAAAACAAGTTGTTAAAAATATATGTATATATTAAGATACTAAAATGAAAAAGAAAAATATAAAAATAATGTAACCGGTCCATTTCGGTCCAAAACCGGACCGGATCGGAATAAACAGGTATGGATCGGAACCCGGACCGGTTGATTACGGTCCGGTCCCGGTCCCCAAAAAAACTCGATTCCGGGTTCCGGTCTATTCCGGTCCCGGTCCGGTCCGGTTTTGGACCGGTGCACAACCCTATTGACAATACATTTAATCCAATCATACTCAATTAATTTTTTTACTATTATTTTTTTAAAATATATTTTATATACTAGGAATCTAGCTTTTATTACAAATATAGTAACATAGATTAAAATTAAGGTATTGAAATACTTCGTATATCATAACATTATCAAACTTTTTCCTCCAACATAAAATTTATTTTAATAATAAAAAAAAATATATTTTGGTAGCATACTTTGTATAATCTTAAAATTATGCATAACGTTTATAAGAACAACCAAACAAAATTATTTTATTACATTATACTCCTCCGTTTTTTTATATGTTATAATTGGATTTGCACATTTGTCGAGACACAACTTTAACCATCAATAATTCAATATCCTTAATTAAAGACTATTATTTTGTTACAAATATTTTTTTGGTAAATCATTGTTAAATTAACATCATTCTTTATAATTTTGTTATAAAGTTTAATTATTACCGTGCATGACACGGGACTTAACCTAGTTAAAGACACTAAGGGTGAGGATTCCTATCATAGGATTAGAGGTGGTTATTGGACATGGTAGCCCAATGATAATAGGGTCAGAGCCAAGTTTATAGGGCTTTTAATAGACATGGCTATTAATGGACAGATCCCTTATTGCGTAGTGTCAATATAGGGCCAATATATTTTTCCAATTTAGTTGATAAAGAAAATACATAATGTTAAAATAAATATATAGATTAATTTGTATTCATATGTATTTAATAATGGCTTTGTCCAATATTTATTTTAATTGATATTTTGTAGGCCCGCCCATTATCGACCCGCGGCTCGCATTGTCCCGACCCTATAAAATGTGACCCTCTTTGACCCTGACCCGCAACCGACCCGCCGACCTTGACCCGACCCACCCAATAACCAGGTCTACATAGGATTGAGGTTCGATCAGGATCATTGGATGGACTTATAAGACGGACACTACAATATCGTGGGAAATTGGTCATCAATAAATGTCTTACTTCGTATTAACTATTTAATTTATTTCATTTTTTATATATAATATAAATAAATTTGGTAAATTTCTTTTCAATTTGCTTGGCCAAACTAATTGCATTTTTAAACTTCAATGGTCAAACTAATAGATAGGAATTATTTACAATTCCAAGCAAGTATCTATCTACAAGTGTACGTACAATTATTAGAGTTGTTCTAATATGAATAATTTGCTACAAGTTTCTAATTTTAAAAAAATAATAATGCAATTCCAAAAATGTCACGAAAATCCTTCTAAAAAAAATGTCACGAAAATATACGCCATATTTTCTAAGCCATACAAAAGTGTGAACATCGGTTATCAAGGGCGGCGCTCAAAGTTTTGGGCTTGCACGCTTGAGAAAGCAAGTCTCGTCTCAAAGTCAGCTCTTGTTTAGCACGTTAAAGAATAATAATGACATTCAATACTTGATGGTTCAATTATACGAATGAATGTATGTTTGTATATACACAACAATCTCATAAATTTATTACAGTATTAAAGAAAAATGGCTTCCTAATTCTTCTTATTACACTTTCCCTTGATAACTTTGATCATTTTCTTAGCCATTTCGTTTTCAAATGGTGAAAATGATAAATATATAGCATGTTCATCAGATTTCTCTTACTCATGCGGGCAAATCCAAAACATTACTACGTACCCGTTTTGGGGAGAAAATAGGCCCAAGTCCTGCGGAACCTCGGAATACAAGCTCAGTTGTTGGGAGGATAACATTCACACTATGATATATGGATTTCATAATGGATTGTCAAGATTAAATGTGTTAAGTATTAATGCGTCGTCACACACCATGGTTATCAATATTTCCCTAATATTTGACCATTGTAATATGAATCTGTTATAAACGGAATTGCACAAATAAAATAATAAGAACAATGTTATCGAGAATAAGACTGAGTCGCGGACTATGTCGCTCTCTTTAGAACATTCGCGGCACTGCCTCAAAGTTGTGCAAGCAGCTCGTACCAAACCGGATGCCCCCAGGATAAAACAGTCTTTCACAAGTATAAAATACCGGCGGTTTTGCACCGAACCACCGGACAACGGAACACCAGAAAATCAGAAAGAAACTGCTCGACTGTTTTGAGAGGAAGAGAAAATATATTTTGCAAAGTGGTTTTCTGTATTTTTTCGTGTGTGTAAAAACAAAGCTGGAACCGTCCTTTTATAGGTAAAGATACGTAACAGCTTAAGCATGAAAACGGGAGAAAGATTAGCAACGTTTACTGCAATTAGTGTATCCGTTAAGCAAGAATCAAGGCATTAAATCAGTGAAACAGCAACGAGAATCAAGCAATGTAACGGACAAATTTAAACCAAAACAGTAAAACGTTTTGTAACTGAATATTAACCAAACCGGTAACAAAAATTAAGTTTGTTTAATAACCCAAACCCGACCCAGCCCGGCTCGGCTCGAGCGCGCGTGATATATGGTTTACCATATAGGTCCTCCCTCTCCACAAAATGTGGGTAGCCCAAGGGCCACACCCCTTTAGCCCACTCTCTATATTATAAAGAGAGTAAAACTCTCATTTCCCACCAATGTGGGACTTTGAGTTTTTTCACAAAATTCACACACTACACACTTGTTGTTCCAACAATCACACGAGCCATTCAACTTGGTTTTCGATTCTTAAACCGACCGTTGATTATAGGAACATCAGCATATATCATAATTGTTCCAAGTCTGCTAGCTGCTCCGCATATCTTTCCAAGTCTTGTAACTGCTCCAGATTGGTTTATGGCTCCAGTTATTCAGCTGATAATTATTACTTTGACAACTCGTCAGATATCAGCAGTGGAAAAGTAGTCATCAGTCGTGCTCTTGTAAGCATAATGCTACGTTTCCGGTTGTCAAGAGAGAATTTGGTGAGCTACCCAAAAGTAAAAATGCCTCAAAAAATTGGCTGATGATTGAGATGAAGTACAACGCCAACTTCACAGCGTGTTCTAAGTGTGAGAAGTCTGGTGGCAGATGCGGATCATCAAGCCAAAAACCAGATAAGTTTGTGTGCTATTGCTGGGATGGACCTCGTCAACTCGAGTGCTCTCAAAAGTCTCAATCAGGTCAGTTCCTGCCACACCCTGAATTTGTTGTAAGCATGCATTATTGATACAAATTGGCACTAACCAAAGTAAGAATTTCACTGTAACATCCCAAGTCAGGTTATATGACCAATATGAGGTTATACCTGTACTACTCTAGCGCGTTTCTTTAACAACTTCATACTCATCTATCAATACATAGCTCTATATGTAACCAAATTGACAATTCATTTGTTTTTCTGCAGAGAAGAAAAGACCGGAAATCGGTATAGGTAATTCAATATTTTCTCTGAATTAGACCAATTCAATATTTACTTACCCTGTACCTAGATAAGAATTTAGCTGCTGGATCCTATTAATTAACTGACATAACCTTACTAACCAATGATCAGGCATTGGAGGAGTTTTACTTGTTCTTGTAGTATTATGCATAGCCATCTGGTACCGGAAGAAGAAGACTGGTCACTCGATTTTCAGAACCCGGTGTACCTCTCTTGACAGTAGTGCATCAGACCTTGAATATGGAAGCAAATTCTATGGCGTGACACTCTTCTCCTACACTCAACTTGTAAAGGCCACTGAAAATTTTGATCAAGCTAACGAACTTGGTAGTGGTGGCTTTGGAACTGTTTATTACGGTAAGCATGAATTTACATCAGTTGTCCCAAACAGAACATCCTTAAGTTTTCGGTCATTTAGCCAAAGAATAATTGTCTGAATCTATTAGCCCTTGTTTAAACATATATAACATAAAACTTGTTTTTCCTTATTTGAATTTATTTTTCTTATAACTCGTGTTTTTAAGGTGAAAAGAACTGGCCCTTTAAGTATATACTACAATCAAATTTTTGCATGTAGGGAAGCTAAATGATGGAAGAGAAGTAGCAGTAAAACGCCTTTATGAGAAGAACTACAAAAGATTAGAACATTTTATGAATGAAATTCATATACTTACTCGTTTGAGAAACAATAACCTCGTGGTACTCCACGGCTGCACTTCACATCACAGCAGGGAACTCCTCCTTGTATACGAGTACGTGGAAAATGGGACAGTAGCTGATCACCTGTACGGTGAAAACACAAAATCAGGATTCCTTCCATGGCCTGTTCGACTGAGAATAGCAATCGAAACAGCCACTGCACTCTCTTATCTCCATGCTACAGACATTATACACCGCGATGTTAAGACAAACAACATTCTCCTAGACAGCAACTTCAGTGTCAAAGTTGCTGATTTCGGGCTTTCTAGACTCTTCCCAACAGATAAAACTCATGTGTCAACAGCACCACAGGGGACTCCAGGGTACTTAGACCCAGAGTACCACCAGTGTTATCAGCTGACAAATAAGAGTGATGTTTACAGCTTCGGAGTAGTCCTCATCGAACTAGTATCTTCTCTGCCTGCAATCGATATGGACAGGCATAGACTTGAGATCAACTTGTCTAACTACGCAATGAACAGAATCCAACGTTGTGCATTTGATGAGTTAGTAGACCCACAGCTCGGGTTTGCATCAAATTTCAAGGTTAGAAGGATGACTATTTTGGTGGCAGAACTCGCGTTCCAGTGTCTGCAGCATGATAAAGAATTCAGGCCATCGATGGATGAGGTTTTAGAGGCTCTCAAGAAGATTGAAAGCGCGGATTATGAAGCATTGCAGGCAGAAGAAATGGTACATAATGCTGCAGAGGAAGTTGTGAAAATGCATATTGGTAACACACCAATGCCTTCCCCTGCAGAAGATGATCATGCAAAGCTGTTAAGCAATCATCAGCTAATTCTGTCTTCGCCGATCTCTGTGATAGATAAATGGATCAGTGGATCTACTATATCAAGCAACAGCAAGTAAATTATTCAGTGATTTTTTTTTTGTTTTTTTTTTTTTTTTTTTTTTTTTTTGAAAAAATGATCAACTATATCTTGGGTGCAGAAAATTGCTCAACATAATATGATTTTATTATGGTTGGTGCGCCTTTTTGCTAAATTTTGGTGAATCTTTGAAGATTTTGGCAATGGAAACACAATATAAAGGATTCAGAAGAGAAATGATAGGTTTTTGAAGGTGATATTAGAAAGGCAGAGATAGATTATAAAGGCTAAATATTATTTGAATTAAGATTAATTTTTATAAATAGGAAAATTTGTCAAGAACCATCTTATAATCACCAGCTTTGCTACCTTACCATCCACCTAAGTCCCTAACCAGTAACCACCCTCCCAACTTGAAAAGACCCTTTACCACGAAATCACAAAACGAAATTAAAGCAAGTTATGTCAATAGTGCTTAAAGTCAAATTGTATCATTTCATTGTGGAATTGATTATTTTAAATTTAATTTGGGCTACATATACTATAGATTATTTGTGTTTGGTTAACATGTAAGAAGAAAAAAAAAAAGTTCCTAGCTAGAAGATTGTTGCAAAATTTCATAAAAATGCAATTTTGGAAGAAATTATTCTTTCTTATATGTAATTTAAAAAAAAAAAAAAAAAAAAAAAAAAACACTTATATTGTACCTTATTGGGCATTTGAATAATGATGGCCGGTGGATGAGGCCCAAATATTCCTCAACATATGTGAATGTGATGGATAAAGAGTAATTGGATTATCTGGAAAAACATGGAGTAAAAGAAAGAAAGTAAAGTGTGTGATTGTCTAAAAATAAGAAGAAAAAAAAAGTTAAAATAAAATAAAATATACTATCTCCGTTAATTGTTTTGTGCAACTTTGAGGGGGTTTTCGGTTACCAATGCAAAATTTGAGGGGTATAGATTAAGGATTGATTTGTAAAAGTAATTAAAGTTGGGAGGAGAGATAATGGTAGGCCACCCCCATGTGTTTTGGTGGGGAAATCAATCGCTTTTAGAGGGAATCACTTACCCACCGAAATTTTCAGCCAAAATTCAAAAGGTTTGAATTTTTTTGGTGGGATTTTAATTCCCTCCAACAGATTTAAAAAAAAAAACAGCTTGTCATTTAAATTGCATAAGAAGTTCCACATTCCATTCATTGTTTTAGAGGCTTATAAATACTAGCCCCAAACTACCAAAAGACAATAAATGTTCCACCATTAATTACAAACATTCTGTTTTCCAAATCATGAAATTGTTTGCCAAAAGTTAGCACTAAGCACCCTAAATTAGCCCATAATTAGTCAAAAAATTTAATTAGTGCTGCACAAAATCTTCACATAAAACCGTCATCATCTTGCTTTATCTACACAAAAGGAAGGGCTGCTTCATCTCCTCAAAAACCATCATCAGCTAGCCCATCAACAGCTAAAGCAATCTGCAAACACACAAGTACAAAACCAGCCATGGCAGAGTTTGATGAATCTCTGTTTTATGATGTTGACCAATTATTGACAGAGGAAGAGTTGGCAGAATTATACTTTGATGTAGAGGAGGAGATGCAAGATGAAGACATTGAGCAATACGATTCTGAAAATGAGAATATGCAGCAAGAGGATGATACAGAAAATGGGACTCATGTATCAGAACCAGAAGCTGAAGTTCAGGGCATGCAAGATGACCAACAAGGCACTCAGAGCATTAACAGGAAACAACTAACAATGCAACAAAGAAGACAGATTGTTGATGCAATGTTGTGCAAAATGCAAGATGGTAATTTGCCAAGAGGTTATAAAGTGAAACTTTCAATTCAATTCCATGTTCACAAATCAACAATTACAAGGATATTCACTGACATTAAAAAACAGATGGCTCAGGGAAATTTGATTGATGTCAGGTCTAAGAAAATAGGCAGAACAGGTCCAAAACCAAGGGAATTCACAAATGAATTTCTACAGTCAGTGCCCCTTCATTTAAGGCAGAGTGAAAGGTCTTATGCATCAGCACTGAATATTTCTCATGTCACTCTTCATTATTTGAAGAAAAAGGGGAGGCTGAGAACACATACTGCAAGTAACAAGCCAGCACTTTCATCTGACCATAAAGTAGCAAGAATGAAGTGGGTTCTATCTCATATTAATCCTGTCTTAGGAAATGAGGACCCAACATTTGAAGATATGGACAGAGTAATACACATTGATCAGAAATGGTTCTACTTGAACCCAGACAAGAGGAGATTTTATCTCCTTCCAAGTGAAGAATATCCATACATGGCACAATAATCAAGAAGGTTTAAGTTAAAGGCCATGTTCATGGCACTAATTGGGAAACCACTTTATGGGACTAATGGGGAACTCATTCATGATGGGAAATATGGAATATTCCCTTTTACAGTTCAAGAGAGGGCTAAGAAATCAAGTAAAAACAGAGCAGTAGGAACAATGGTCACAAAGGCACTCCAAAATGTAAACAGAGAAGTCATTAGAGAAATGTTGCTCAACAAAGTTATACCAGCTATAATTTCTAAGTGGCCTGAAAGTCAGCCTAAGAATGTAATTATTCAGTGGGATAATGCAAGACCACATCAAATACCTACAGATGATGAGTTTATTGCAGCAACAACATCAAATGGATTCAACATACATTTTGTCTTCCAGCCAGCACAATCACCAGATTTAAATGTGTTGGATTTAGGATTGTTTAGGTCTATTCAATCTTTACAGTACCAGTCCTTTCCCAAAAATGTAGATGAACTTGTTGAGAAAGTTATTGAGTCATATAACACCTTCAAACCAGAAGTGAACAAGTACATTTGGGTCACTTTACAGAGATGCATGATCAAGATACTGAAAGCAGAAGGAGGTAACAAGTACAAAATCCCACACATGAACAAGAAAAAGCTAGAAAATCTGGGAACTCTGCCAAATGTTGTGCATGTTCAGGAGGAAGTAGTAACAGAGGCTGTGGAGTATCTAAACACAATGTTTAGGCCAGCATCTCAAGGTAATCATGATGCAGAGGAGGACATGGAGGTGGATGCAGACTAAGTCAAGGAAATAAACAGACTCAGAACATCAACATGTACTGCCACACATAACCATCTACAGTGTGTAGTTCTTTTTTTGGGCACTATTTTTATTAGTCTTGTTTATGACTATGTGGTTAGGTGTATTTTGTAATGGATAATGTGATAGACCACTAAGGCAGTGATATGTTAGTTGTTGTGTAATAGGCTTTTTGTAGCCACATTTTGAATGGAATGAAAGGAATGAATGCATTATGAGGTATGAAAAACAATCCATCAGAAGAATACTTGAATCTTGAATACAACAAATTAAACAAGTTTACCTCAACAACCATCCCATTATTGTGATAGTTGGAGCAAATAACTTGTTCAATTTGTAATTCAATTTAGTCCCTTCATCATATGGACTTCAATTTAAACAATGTACTCAGAATAATATTGAGACTCCCTACTGAGTAATACACAAGCAGCAAAGGGGGACTCAAACATGTACCACTGTTCTCTACACAATTGATCATTGAGAACAAGACATAAAAATCAGAAGTTCACCACAATAAACCAGTAACTAGGTAGCATCATCATTCATCAATCAAATTCCCTTTTCAAGCCATAAGTAATTCATGCCAAATAAACCAACAACAACAACTGTCCAAACAATCAACCAACATCATAAATAAACAAAGATATACATACTCCACCCAAAATATAGCCAACACAACAGTAGAGACCAACATCATGAATAGACCACCATCAACAGTAAGGTAATCAATTAACCATCTCCACAGAACAGTCCAATAATATAACTAGGGCCAACAAATTACCAATACTTTTCAGAGTAGAAAAGAGCAACCAATTAACCAACAACAATTATCCATTTCCAATTAACCAACAACACAACAATTAACCATATTCAATTAACCAACAACAACAATTAACCAGTCCAAACAATCCACCAACAACAATTATCCATTTCCAATTAACCAACAAGAACAACAATTATCCATATTCAATTAACCAACAACAACAATTAACCAGTCCAAACAATCCACCAACAACAATTAACCACTCCAAACAATCCACCAACAACATAAATAACCAGCCCAAACAATCCACCAACATCACCAATAACTCAAAAAACCCGTCAACATCATCACCTTCAATTAACCAACAACAACAATTCATCATGTTGAAACCAATTACCCAGCACATAATCACAAGTAAATAACCAATATAGCATAGAATCAAGTAACAGGGACTCATAATCACAAGTAAATAACCAATATAGCATAGAATCAAGTAAGAGGGACTCATAAATTTAAAATAAAGAAATTAGGGTTAGGAATCGTTACGAGAGCAGTTAATCGGAGGGTTGAACCCTAGGGTTCAGCCGCCTCACAGAGCAGTGCACCACAGGAATAGAACTAGAGTCAGATTCCGGTTCAAGAGACAGAGGTGCCTCATCAGCCTCCTCATCAGATGAAAGGACGATGAGTTCCTCATCAGGAAGCCCACGCATCCTTCGCAACGCTGCACGCGCCGCCTTCCGAGTAGCACGCACCTTAAAGGGAGGCCTTTCCCTCTTAGATCTAGGTTTTTTTGGAGGAGCCGCACTCCCCTCTCCAGTTTCCGCCACCATTTCCACCTGAATCTCAGAAAAATCAAGGGATTTCCTACGGGACTGACCCTCTCCCTCCTCCCTCTTTTTTTTTCTTCCTTATCAACACTTTTCAGCACTTGACCCAGAGCCCGATACATGTATAACGTACAATAGGGACCCGTTTCACTGGACTCGTAGAAAGCACCAGGGAAGGGTGAACCAGTCTCAAAGCAGTGTATGAGATGCTAGATCAAGTTCTCTTCACCCTTGTCGTTGGTGGCCATGTAAGCTTCTTTCAACGGATCTAGGTTTATCATGGTTGATAGAGGATGTGAGGTTGAAAAAGAGAGAAGGAGAGGAGTTTAGATCTGGAGTGAGGAAGTGTGAAATCGAAGAAGAAGAGGAGAGAGAGAGAAACCCCAAATGATGAACTAGGGTTCATCAGTAGAAATATCCAGAAGAAATAGAGGAGGCAAATCATCGCAATTAATTGTAGGTGGTTGAGGATGTGAGTGGGAATTGGGGTAATAAATGGAGGGAGTCATTAGTTTAGGGAATCTGATTAGATTAGAGTAGATGTAAGGTTAGTGTAATTAAGTTAGACTAAGGGTAACAATTAAAAAATAAAAAGGGACTAAGTAAGGGTAATTCAGTAATTTCCACCTTTTTTTTTACTAAAAATAGTAAGAAAATGGAAAGTTGCACATAACTCCGATCATCCCAAAATGGCAAAAGTTGCACAAAACAATTAACGGAGGTAGTATAATAATTAAACTAGAGACAAATTCAGCCAAAAAAAATGTGGAAATGTTGGCGTGAAAAAACTGGGCTGACTTTTACACTTTAGTGATTTGTTTTGGGGCCAATACGCTGGACTTGAAGTCTAAATAAGAGATTAAGAATTCTATAGTCATAAATTATCTAGAATAATCTTTATTTATTTATTTTAACACCAAAATAATCTTATTCACTCAGTATGTAACTTATAATTCAATTTTTAAGACATTTTTAAAGATGACATTGGGTTGTGTCATACTTCAAACCATCACAAAGAAAGTAAGACGGAGCCACAAATGACAAAAACACGATGTAGCCTAGGCATTACACGGACACACAATAGTGTGCATTGGGTTGTGGGCTGCCTGAGTCAATTTTATTTAGGAGAAGGATGACTGATGTTTAGGGTGAAAATACCCTAAGACACGTGGCCCAATAAAGGCTTGACACGTGTCAATCTTTCAACGGTCTGCAAAGGCCCAATCCCTTTGCGACACGTGTCTCTTATACCCTAATTGAGGTACAGTTCTCCCTTACTATAAATAGTAAGGGTAGACCTCATTTATGAAAAACACACATTAATTGCAACCACACAAAAAACAAACAAAGCCCAAACCTACTGAAACGCTCTCGAACCGAGAAGCTTTTATTGTTCTTATTCCACTTCGAAAAGATACTAACTTAATCTTCGGAGGCGGAACTCCCACCCCCATCCGGAGTCTCCGTTACTTGTGCAGGTACAGGCGTAAGAAGGAAGTCTGCTAGGAAATTGTAACTCTCCCGAAGGACATAAAATACCCCCAAACATCTGGCGCCGTCTGTGGGGAGAGTACTTTCTAGATGACATCTGAGCCTATACTACCTGGTAAAGGCAATCTGCCTACTAGGGAGGTTGAGGTCCATTCGGACCAAGATACAGCCGATAACTATGACTTGGAAGCCTACACTGCTGCGGATGGCTCTTTAAGGACCAAGAACACCCGTTCCAAAGATAAGGGAGAACGGGAAGGGAACCAGGCGGCTCCTAGCAAGCCAACTAGGGGGCCGCTTGGGTTAACCTCTACCGCTGGAGACTCCCCAGTCTCCAGAGATGAGCTCATGAATATGATGATGAGCTTCAAAGGAGAGATCAAAGGCCTTCTGGACTATACAGCCGGCCCCCGTAAGGGTCAGGCGGAAGAAAGGCGTCACGGTAAAAAGACAGCCAAAACAGTAAAGGGTAGAGCATCTACCCCGCATCCGAAGTCAAACATGCCGGCTAGGCTCTTTGATTTCTCAAAGATGCACTCTCCTATAGATGGAGTCAGAAAGCCCGTCCGGCACATTCAGCCGGATGGAACCAAGAAAGTCTATTCTGACGCCCGAACGCTAATCCAAGATAAAAAGACTCAGCGATCCGAGTCGGCATCAACATCGACCTTTCGAGACAGCTTCAATGCCACCTCAGGAAGGCACTCGAGAACAAACAATGACAGCCGGACGAGCGAGGTTTCCGCTCGATCCGGCCCCCATATGATCCAACCGGCAGTGCATGGAACACCGTATACGCCCTTTGGATCCCCCTATGCACATGCAGGTATTTTCGGGGGGCAGCATCAGCCGCCCGTCCAGCCTATGGACTGGCAGCTCCGGCTGCTCAACCTTGGGGAACAGCCAACGGCGTTCTCTAGAGAAATCACCGAGATGACCCAGCCGTCTAAAATCAAAAACGTGTTGGTAGGCGCCTACGACGGTACCACCAACCCGGAAGATCACCTTATGGCATACACCAACCTGATGTATTTGCAGGGTTTGGATGACGCCTCATGGTGTCGGTGCTTCCCGGCTACGTTGAAAGGGATTGCTCAACGTTGGTTTGGTAACCTCCCAGCCGGATGCATCAATAATTTCGGGAGGGTCTCCACTCTTCACGAGGCGCTCATGAAGGCGGAGGCCTACATTCAGGCAGTGGAATTGTGTGCTGTTAAACTTCCAACGGATTACAAAAGATCCGATAAAAAAGAGAGTCGGCCTACCCAGTCGGCCAAAAAGGAAGACAAGAGAAAGGGGGTATGGGCGGCAGACTCATCCGGACAACCTTTCCAGAAAAGGAAGAGGTCGGATCCGTATGTGCCAAAGTACGAGTTCAACAAGGACTGTGCCTCCATTCTCAACGAAGTAAAGGACCGGTTGAATCTTGAAAAACCGTCTCCTATGAAGAGTCCTCTAAGCGCCCGGGATAAGAGCAAATATTGTCTTTTTCACGAGGAAATTGGCCACGACACTGAGGGTTGCTTTAGCCTCAGGCGGCTCTTCGACCGGCTCGCTGATGAGGGGGCTCTCAAATCTTATCTTTCCAAGTCAAGGGGTACTCCTAAACAAGCAAGAGGACCACCCCCAAAGAAGATGGCTACTCAATCGGATACGGATGAGGAAACCATCCTGACCATAGCCGGTGGATTTGCGGGAGGTGGGCCTACCATCCGGGGCACAAAAGACAACATTCGGAAACTGGTCAACTCAGTGGATGAGGGCCAGTCGTCTGAATATTCATTTCCAGAAGTTAACATCTCCGAGAGAGATAGGGGCGAGGTCAGGTGGCCTCATGATGACCCCATAGTCATCGAGTGCAAAATCGCCAATCAAAGAGTTGGCCGGATCTTGATTGA